CCTCCAATGAGGCCTGCCCCACAGCCGTGGCAGAGCACTAAGAAGGGAATTCCTCTCTCAACTCCCAGGCACAAACGCAGAATTCACGGGTCTCTACTCTCCCACAGATGAACATGTGTTTTTGTGGAAAGACCACACAGAGGAGTTGGGATCTCTATGCTGTTTCCAGATCTGGCCTGCATTGGCTGTGTAGCCCGAGTCAAATTATAGAACCAAGGCCACATTCAGCTGGAAGGAATTTAGAGATTGCCTCTGCTGGTGCGTCAGAACCACCAGGACAGCTCATGGAAGCACAGATTCCTGGGCTTCAGTCCCAGGATTCTGACTCAGTAGGTCTGGGGTGGCACTGAAGATCCTGCTTTTCTAGTAAACTTCCAAAGCATGAGTGCTGCCGATACAGGCACCCCACGTGAGTATCACTGGCCTATGATAACCTTGTCTTAAGATGGGTCAGCAAACATTTTCTTAAGGGCCAGTTAGTAACTATTTTAGGCTTTGCAGGCCGTACAGTCTGTGCTGCAACTGTTCAATTCTGCCGATGTAGCTGGTAAGTGGCCGTGGACGATCTCTACGTGCATATGGGCCTGTCTTCTGATAAATCTTCATATCCACAGGAGGCCCCAGGGCTGTAGTTTGCTGATTCCTCACCCCATGCTGATAGAACCTGACTTCTTCCCCACCACGCCTTGCTTTCAGCTGTAAAATGGGGATGCTATTCCTGGTCTTACTTTTCTCCGTGGCTACGATGAAGACAAGGTACGATAAACACTCAGAAAAAACATTTTGTATCAGGTTCAGTCAGTCCCATATTGTCAGCTATACTGTTTTTAAGCACAACACCTTCCTTTATTTTAATAACCATTGAATTGGACTTATAAATATCCCCCTGAATTATTAGGCATCACATAAAAAGAAACACAAAAAGGCTAAGAGATGACAGAAGGAATCATTTTGAATTTAGGAACTTTGTGTCAGAAAATAAAAATGTAGAACTCTTCCTATGTCAATAATGCCTCCATGAAGGAGAACAAAAAAATGAGTATTTCACAAGGTTAGTCAGACAAAAAACAAAGTTCATGATGGCGTGACGCACGACTACTGCCTTCGTAAAATATTTTAATTAAAAACCATTCCATACACAAAGATGTAACCAACAAGTTATATTATTTTTTATTCATGTTAGAATTTCTATCAGTGTTTGAACATTAATATTTAGAGAGTTTGTACATTTTTGCCTTCTGAGGTTTAAAATGAGAACCACACTAGGTCACAAATGGTAACTAATACACATTCCACAACTGCATGAAGATTCACTCAATCTCACTCTCTTAACACTGTTAAACATTTTCTTCTCCTTGCTGTACTTTACAATGAAAAGTGTGCCCCACTCATGTCTCAGCAAAGTTCCAGACATTATGGATTCATCACATATAAATTCTTTAAAAATATACTTCTGTCAAAAGACTTGATGACTACTATGTACACTACAAAAATAAATTTTCATATAAATAAATTATATGGCATACTTTTATCTTTGTAACTGAAATGACACAAACCCATTTCTGCCCAAATGGGCAGACAATGAGACCCAGTTTGAATATTTCCTTTAAACTCCTTACACTAAAACCTACCATGAGTCCTTAATGAAAATGTTATATACTCTGAACTATTTAACATTAGTAAGCACTCTATACAAATAAAAATTCTGTTCAAAGGTAAAACATAGCTGTAATAGTGTTTCCAATAGAAATAAAATCCCTGCATTTTTCTGTTATAAACTGGCATGACAAATACTGTAGGAAAACATTCTTATGATACAAAATTATAAATATCAGCAAAGATTTTTTTTTTTAAAAATTAAAACATCCAAATGAACAAACAAGACAGACAAAATAAAACTATTTTAAAAAAGAGAGAGAGAAATTCTGGTTGCCTGCCAGCCCCCGAGTTCTCCCTTTGCCAATGTGACTACTGGAGAGAGCTCTACGCTGTGCAGAAAGCAGGGGCCAGCCAAGCAGTCAGGCACCATGCAAGCTGGGCTCAGGAAAGGAGTGAGGGCACTCCTCGAGCCAGAGGGAAGCAGACCTCTGAATTTTGCATCATCTCTCTCCTGAATGCGGGATATTGAGTTTTCTGAGCAGAGCTGAGTGTTAGGTAGACAGACAGTGTGGCTGACAGAGGCACCAAACAGTAGCAGTGGGGCCACTTGGGACCCTGGCATATGAACACACCCATCTGGTAGCCACAGTCTCGCGGCGAGTTTTACAGTCTGAGGTCACTACACTGCTGGTACTATTGTGGGCCGTTGCCTTTCGAATAAGATTTTCCATGTAAAACAGGAGGCATAATGGGAGCTGCCCTTTGTGCACTCCTACAGTAGCTTAGTCTGGGTACCGAGTGCTTCCCCAACATTTGTTGGTCTCTGGCTAAGAGCCTAGGAAGACCAAACCTCAGAGCAAGAAAACAGAATTGATATGGAAGCAGATCTTTAAAAATAACACCTGGTTGAGAGATATGTCTCTATATACATTCTTCAGTGGGGGTTATGCAATTAGCATCTTCCTGCTCTTCAATAAATGTCACATTGAAAGAATACTAATGATGGTGAGAAGAGGGGGATGAGATACTTAGGAAGCGTGCACCCATCATGTTAATATTAACACTTGGAGGATCAGCCTTCTGAAGCTCATATCCTATAGAATTTCTGATTCCGTATCACCATATTGGATGCTCACTATTTTAAAGAGGAGGCAGACAGATCCAGAAAGCCCCAACCGTGCCATTTAGCAAGAGAGGGAGTTTAAATTGTAGGGACTCAAAACATCACCTCTGGGTCTGTTGTGGACCCAGAATTAAGAGGTCATTGTCTCCAGAAGATTTCCAATCCACTCTTAAATTTGGGTGGTGATACTGGTGGTGTGTGTGTGTGTGTGTGTGTGTGTGTGTGTGTGTGTGTGTGTGTGGTGCGTTGGTTACAAGAGAGGTACAATGAAGGCTGCGTACTTTAGAGGATACGCTCACGGCCCAGCTGAGGCTCCCACTGGGCATGTTCTCTAGGTCTTTAATACCAATGAAGTTGAAGAGATGTGAGCTCTGTACCCTGAGGTTCCAACATCCACCACAATGGTCCATGCGAAGGAACTTATCTCCTCTGAGGCACGAGTTGGGGTGTCTGGATGGCAGCCAATAATCTTAAGAGATGCCCTGAACTTGAAGTGAGTCTGGCAAAAGGATAAAGGAGATGTTTAGGGCTAGCCCTCCACCAGCGCTAGCACTAGAGATATCCTGACTCTTCTGGCCTAAGGTAGAGCCCACCACGGGTTCACAGACAGTAAAAAGAAAAAAAAGAAAAAAAATCACAGTACAGTACATTGGGAAATCACACACATGTTCACACACACAGCCAAACAAGAGAATCTCATCCAACTACACCTAGAGAAGCCACCGGGGTTAACGTGCTTTCTTCATATTTGCTCATTAAACAACAACAAAATTATCACGCATAGCGTGTTTGAAAGTTAACAGTAACATTTCATACTACCACAGGGTTGTGATATGCAAATTTAAAATATTTTAAACAGAAACCTTTACAAAATAATCCTATTACATAAGCAATATTTGCATAGAATTATACAGGTAAATTATACAATATTTAAGCAGCAGCAACATATGCTGAAATTTAAGACTAAGTTAAGCTTGGCTGTGGTACAGAGACCAATGTACAAATAGGGAGGGGCTCCGCTGCGGTCTCCCCACCGCCTGCGCTGGAGGCGGGAGTGCAGAAAACCCAGATCACACTACTTTACATCCGTTCCTTCGTATATTACATATGTGTACACCTCTTAAATATTTATAGAAGTATTTCACAAAATAATACAATCAGTTACAGTAACAATGAACTGCTGTCTGGCACAGCACGCCTTTCTAACTCCGCAGCTCTCTTCAAGCAGTTCTGGTGGGGCAGGGTAGGGGTAGGGAGGGGCTTCCAATCTTTGGCCTCTTTGCTTCAGATTTTACTCACCCTTTAAAAGAAAAAAAAAAAAAGGAAGTCAAAGTAACAGGTCTACGAGTCCCTATGTATAAAGCACAAACACAGGCAACACGGGTCTGGGGTACAGAGATCAGGACGGTGGGGGATGGGTGAGGGCATGAGGGGCTTCCAGGGGTGGGTCATGATCTCTCCCTTGACCTGGGGGCTGGTGACAGGGATGCGCTCACTTTGTGACTGTTCACTGAGCTGTGCGTTCATCAGACATACCTGCTATGGCTTTAAAAGACTGAAAAATAGGTGAAAGGGGCAGCTGTCAGTGTCTCTGTTGAGATGCATTAAACCTCCACAGGCTAACTGTGAGGGACAGATCCAATCTGGAACTCAACTGGTTCTCCAAGGATGACGAAGCTTAGACAGGCAACCCTGCCTGTGGGTAAGAGGTCACTGCGGTTCAGTAGGGGACACATGAGTGCCCAGGGCTCCAGGAGGATGCAGCCATCTGCGTCCCTCTAAGTCCCTGAGGGGTCATTGAAGAGCAGCGCCTCAGAGGCCCACCCACCTGCCCACCGGCCCCGCCCACCTCAGTTGGAGCTGCTGCCCCGGCGCCTCTCCTCACATTCCACGTCCTGTAGCTCAATGACCTCCACCTTGGGATCCCTCCTCTCGCAACGGACGTTAAAAGGCACATGGGGGTCCTCAAACAGCCCGTGGTCAGTCTCGGGGTAGTCCTCGTAGCCCGGGCGAAGTCCCCCTCGGGGGTTCCGACTGGGCCCGGGCGGGGGGTGCACTGCAACAGTCACGGACGCTGAGGCCGTCACGGTGGTGATGGGCTGGCAGTAGCTGGGCACGGAGCTGCCCGTGGCAGTGAACGCTGGGTGCCGAGGGTTGTGAGAACGGGTTCCCCGGGGGCCCGTGCGGTCCCTATTGCTAGGGCCAGAATGCCCTTCAGTAGAAATTTCGAAAGCGTCTCTGCGCGGTCTGTAAGGGGGCGGCCTCAAGCATTCTCTGGGGGCCTCTCTTCTGGGCTGCTGGCCTGGCCGTCCGGGTGGCAGGGACCCTGAGTCCAGATGGGGCTGCTGTCGAGGGTTGGAGGGTGGGTGCTGCCTCGGTTCAGGATGGACCACCTGCAGAGGGCAAGGGCAGGCTGAAACAGGCCGGGTGCTAACCCCAGGCTGGGCATCGGCCCCCGCTGCCCCAGCCCTCCCTTCATGGCTCTGACTACCGCCCGGCCACCCACACACAGCTCTTTCTGAACTAGACCTTAGTCAACCCCACAGATGGCCGGGAGCGCCCCAGGGAGCGACCAGGGGCCTTCCACCCACAACGACGTGGCAGAGGTACGCCCTGTTTGGACCCTATGCCTAGGCTTTCTCCAGCACAGCTGGCCGGACACATACGGCTGGCTGCCCATAAATGCAGGGCTGTGGTCTAAGTACCGGAGCTGCCTCTCTCCCACAGTCCGCCACCCCACCCTGCTGGGTAGGATCAGATCTCGAGCTCCCTCTTTCTTCTAAAATGACTAAGTGTCTGGCCCTGGCTCGCCCAAATGCAGGACGTTACCCGGACGTTGCCTACACTGTTGAATACGGTAGCCATGAGGGACACGTGGCTATGTACGTTTAAATTAACTAAAATTCAAAATTCAGTCCCTTAGGTCGCACTAGTCGCATTTCAAATGCTCCACAGCCACATGTTGCAGTGGCTACTGCACTGGAGAGCATTCGCACTGTCACAGAAAGTTCTACCGGGCAGTGCTGCTCTATCCTGTCGTTAGGAATCTGGTTTCTGGGTCTCTGTACAAAGCATGGAGCAACACAGTGGCCACATCAATCAAAAGGACCGTGACCAACTTCAAAGTCGTTCAGCTTGTACCTATTTTTAGGCTCCCGCTGAACAAAACCAGATTCACACTGCAGCTCAGCAGGCATCGTCACGGGGGGTAAGAGGAAGAAAATTTAGGTTATTTGGTTGGCCTCTCTCTCTTTCATGGAAGGGCAGCTCCAGCCTGGGACTGGAATACCCATTTCCTGGAGGGACAGCAGGAGGCCCCCTGTCAGAGCAACAGGAGCCTTAGAACATTCCTTGGGTTTTGTGTGCTGTGCTCCAGGCCTGGGGGGCCGAGGACATCCTGGGGAGCACAGAGAGGGGAGAATGCAGTTGGGGCTCTCAGGGCCTCTGAGAAGAGGCTCCGGGCTGCTCACGGTTTTCCTGAATTACTGAAGGCTGGTTCTCAGCTTCTCTGCTCCTTCCCGCCACCTAGGATACGAGCTTGGAGCCACAAAAGCTTCTGGTGAAGTCTTAGACAATAACGATCGAAAGAATTTTATACCAAGGGTAATTAAAAGGAACAGAAGTGGAAGGGAAAAGAAATCACTTCTGCTGGCAATAAAAATACCATTACATTTTGAAACAGGTATCCTCCTACAATGATACGTAGCTTTTAAAGAAGGGGGGCAGGGGGAGCAAGGCATGCTTTACCTCCGGTCCTTAAGCTCAAACGTGATATATGCTGACGGATGTTCTGTGTAGCCACCAATATTGGTCCCTGCCCTTTTCAATCTGTATGAGATACAGCCACATGAAACTGACATTTTTATAGTTTAAGAAGAGCCAAATATTGGCCATTTCATATGAGTCCACCTAACCTATACATTTTTTGGCATGCTGTCTGTGATTTGCTGTTCAGAGCAGGCAGGGGCTGCCTCCTGGGGTGACTTATGACTTACGGTGGAGCGGGCGAAGACAGGGTTCTCTGTGGCTTCCACGATCACTTGGTGGGAAGGGCCCCCGGCGCCCTGCTGGGCCTCGTAGTGCCGAAGCTCCTCACTGATGCCCGACACCGTCGTCTGAGAACTGTACTCCGAGTCAGAGGAATCAGACCCGTTGTTCGTGTGACCAGGGGGCAGAGCGAACCGGACCACACTGGGGGGCGGCTCAGGGGAAGGGGTGGGCAGCCGGTTCAGCCCGTTGGCTGGAGACACCTATTTAAGGGGATTCAATATTACAGGTGTTATCAACCATCTACCTGGTGGCCACACTTAAGGTTCAAAGCACAATATTGTTCAGGGGTCGCTGCCCCTCCCCCGCCGCCGGCCTCTCACGCTACCCTGTATTCACTTGGCCCAATCCCTGCCACTCTGAAGACCCTTGGGCCTGACGGCTGGAGCAAAAGACCTGCCCTCTGCTTTCACACTCTGGAAAGGCAGGCTGTGCCCCTTTTACTCCTGTTCAAGCCCAGATATTCTTCTTGAGTGGAAAGTGCTTCATTGATAGAGACCTACAAGACTCAGGTTGCCAATCACTAGGTTTCAAAAATAAACAACCTCAACCAAACCAAACCATTCCCCCTACATCCCCTAAGACTATTAAACTGAAGAGAAAAAAAGCCAGAGTTATTTGAGCTGTTTACTGAAAAAGTAAACAACCAGCAAATGTGGATATACTTAAATATCTAAATTAAGAGTGACACCAGGAAAAACAATATTCAGGTGGTCTGAGGGCTGCACATTACACTGGCAACAATTACTGACCTCAGGATACGGTCCGAAGAAGGACAAAAGGACTGGCAGCAAAACCAGTCCATTGAGAACACCCAGGATTGTTAGGATTGCCAGGACAGCAAAGAAATACCTTGAAGATAAAAGGGAAACAGGAACATTTACCATGGCAAAAGTAAATTAAGCTACCCTTCACGTGCCCAAACGTCAGAGCCAAAAATTAACAAAACCCACACCAGTGAAAAGGCTGTTACAACACTGCGTTTCAAATTCAGCACAAGATTAGGTTTTTTTTTCTCTTTTCTTTTAACCTTATGACTTTGAGGACTACATTCTACAACCCAAAGTGTTAGTTCATGAAGGGAAGAAAAAAAATTAGGTTTGTTAATTTGCTGAAATCTCATGGCATGTAATGTTATTTATGAATGTGTTACACAAACACAAAAATATGGAATGTGAACTGAATGGCCGAGCAGACTGAAAGCACAAATACAATGCAGAGGGGCCCCGTTCATGAAAACCCAGCAGAAGCAAACAAATGAAGTGAAGGGTGTAGAATTTAAACAATTTAGCCCAGGAGGAAAAGCAGCCCACTTCTGCAGGCAGCTAATCCACTGTGAAATGCTTCTGCATCTTAGAGCAGAATCTCTAATTAAGTCTCCAGCGTAGCAGGTAAGGCTTTCCCCGGGCTTTCATTAACCGCAACTTTCTGCCCAGAATTCTGTGAGTTCCAGTTTTACCAAACAGTTCCAACTGCAATCTTTTTAGAACACTGGAACCAGCTTTCGGCAAAGAAAACACTGCCCATTCTGTGGTTGCTGGGGCATTTTCGGGGGAGGGCGGTCCACAATGACGGGCTGCTCTGCCGGCCAATCTTTTGTTGAACAATTTAGCATCTCTGAATACTCTTGTTTTGCGTCAGCCAATTCAAACATAAAGGCCGCAGCACCATGAAGAAGAGGAGAGTGCACAAGTGGCCCTGCTTTCCCACCGTTGAGGGCTAAGGTCTGGGATCCTTCACGAATACCAAGGTGAACCTGTCAACCAGGGAGAGTGGCTGGAGGATGTTGCACACAGCTGGAGGCAGCGGGCTCCACGCAAGCATGCGTTTCTGTAACTAACGGTTTCTAGGGCAATTCTGCTGGAAGTGGGCTGGGGTGGGGGAGAGCTCAGGATGTTCTGGGAAGAGGGAGGGCAAGATATCTATCTGCTAATGGTCCTCTTGATCATAAAACGGAACAGGCACCAACCTTTGCTGTGCCTATATATGTTTCAACATTAGATGAAAGGAGAGAGAATCCCTATAAAAATACAAATACCTCGCAGCTATTGTAAACATTAGAAACTTCTGAGCTGCATTAGTAAAGACCAAGCAGCCGATGCCTTGCACTAATGTAAACTGCTGCAACTTTAGGCGGAGGCATATATCAGCAGCAGGCATTAAGACATTTGCATCCCATCCATCTAACTGTAGAATAAACAGACCAATTAGATTTCTGACAGCTTAGTGTATACAACGTCTGCTCATTTAGTCGACCTCGGTGAGGGCTTTATCAGGTTAATCCATCCAGTTCTAGAAAATGGGAAGCCCCTTTAAGTGCTTGAAACAAGAACCCTGATATCTCTGGGAGAGAACAAGACGCCATGGGTTAGATGAGAGAGCTGGGATCCTGCTCTCCACCCAGGTCCCAGATGGTTGTTCTAATTCAGGCTACGTTTCTTCTCTGTGGCTCCCTTGGCAGCCCCCACAAGGCTGAGTTAGATCCTCTGAGATCCCATCACACTCTGTTTCCCATGGTTTTGAATTGCCTGTGACCTTGTCTCTCCCCCCATGTACAGGGGGACGGGGTCTACATTACTTGCAGTTGTGTGAAATGGCACTTATGAGGTGCTCACTACATTGTGTTGAATGAGACATTACACAAAGAAACTCTATTTGACATAGGGTTTTTACATCACAGAGAAACAACTACTCATGCCCGAGTAACGGAAAAGTCAAAATCAAATTAAGAGCTTAAAACAAAACCCAGACCAAAACCTTCATCTAGTTTAGGCATATGTCTACCTGATATTGGCAAACAGGGTGTACTAACTGGGCTTGTTAAGTGATCGGTCATCTGTGCTGAGAGGATCAGCAACGTGGCCATCATCTTGGGAGCTGGCTGGAAACGCAGACTCTGCTCCCCACCCCCAACGAAGTCCGATCTGCACTTACAGAGAGCCCCAGATGACTCACGAGCACGTTACAGCTTGAGAAGGACTGGTCTACACCTCTCCACTCATTCTCTACCCAAGCGCCAGTGAGCCAACCCTGGCACTCATTCTAGCAAGGCTAAATCTCCATGATGCCGACCCGCCCAATGGGGTAACGTCACAGACCCGTGGACTGATCTTTTCTCGTAATAAAGAAACGTTGGCTACAACTTAAAATCCTCTTCTTTTCACTTGGAATTGAAAGGTCTATCGCAACATACACATCAGAAAAGCCTGTTTAGAATCTCTCTCTAGATTATCGAAACGTCCCTAACGATCAAGTCATTTCTCACATTTCATTCTGCTTTGCCATGGTCCTAATTCTGGACTATCTTTTACTTATTGATGATTCTGGCCTCGCCCCTCCACGGAGCAACAGGGTTACATCCAAGGGCAGCTTTGTCAAAAAGCTGCGGAGGCTGTTCAGAGAAGAAAATGGTCTTTCCCTGCAGTTCTCAAATTCTTTTTAAAAGGAAAACTTGCTCTCCTTTTGTACTTCACAAAGTCAAATCCTTAATTAAATTCACCAGAAACTGCTTGCCATGAAATCCAAATTGAAAGATGTATCCAACTAGGCTTGGATCTCAAAAATTTATTGGTGTTAAGTCACACGTTAAATGCTTCTTAAATCTTAGTGGCAACTCAAATGTGAAATCAAGGCATGTCATCTTCACTTCTTAAAAGAATAAAATCTATGTGAAAACTGTAGGTATCTGTACGTTTTCCTTTCTACAGTTTTGAAGGAGAAGTAAAGGTCAAATTCAGTCAATTAATGGGAACCAGGTCATTTCTTTCTGTTGGTATTTCTAACCTCAATAGCAATAACTGGGATATCGGTTTCAAGTTGTAGAGTTGCCTTTGTTGCTAGCCCCAAACCCTCCATCTTTTCTCCCTAAGATATTCCCCAAGACAGCTCTAGAAGGGAGCTTGCTTTTATGCCTCTCAGGATACCTCTGAGTTAATAAACTCAAAAGAGAGTGGAGTCACAGATTGTGGCAATCACTTCACAATGTATGCATATATCAAACCACCATGTTGTACCCCCTTAAATATATACAATTTTTATTTGTCAATTATTCCTCAATGAAGCTACGGGGTTAGGAGCGGGGAGTAGAGTCACAATGAAGACATGCTGCAATCTTCCAGAGGCAGAAGGGAATAAGCAACAGAGGTCCCATTAGAAACGAATGCTTACCTGACAATGAAATCAAACTCGGATCCTGCAAGCATCAGCACTCCTAACAGAGTGGAAACGGCACCGTCCAGAACGGGTGCAAACATGTGCTCCAGGGCGAGCATGGCCCTGCGGTTCTTATCGCCAATGGCTGTTAGAAAGGCCTGCGCAACGAGGAGAGGTCAGATGATCAGATGCCTGGACTTGACTTGGTCAACAGCCAGCTTCGTCTTCAATGCTATTAGCCACTTTCATCTGCCTCCACCGAACCTCTCAGATCCTACCCTCTATCTACTGGCATGTGTAACTGGGGCTGCTCAACTAGCTAAATCTAGGCTTACGCTAAATTGACCTGTTCACGATAATGGGTTGTATTTGGTATTGATGTAAATCTTGAACATCAAGAAGAAAAGAAGAAAAGCATATTTACTTTAAATTTAAAAACCATGCCAAAACTATACAAATGAGCAAAATGTTCCCTTCTTTTCACTGTTACTCACGCTTGAGTTTACTCCCCACACTTAAATGATCTAGCATCATTCACATGGGAGACCTCCAGTTGTGAAAGCGACAGCATTTTGCCCGATTTTTTAAAAGGTCAAGATCTTACTTCCAAAGGGGCTTAGCACCTGGGTGCTAAATACATATTTCCTCACTATTATGCTGAGGTTAGAAATTCTGTCACCGTGTTCCAACTAATGTGTTTGTAGTACATGTAAGTACCATGAAGGTATCACAAGAAAAACACAGGGCTGTAAATTCAGTCAAGCCTGTTCTAAATATGTGTGGATACATCTCACCTCTTATGCATTCTCTAAAGCTCTTCTAGGTCAAGGATACTGTTGATACCAAATGGGACCTTTATGGAGATCTTGGTATATCAGACTATTGGCTTGAGAGTGTGACCCAGGACCATTTTAATGTGGGTTAGTTACTGTTACACCCTGTCTGCTCCCCCAGTGGGGGGAGGGCTGAGCCCGGCAGAAGCTTGCTCTCTGAAAGTTAAGGCTGCTCTAGGATGTGCTGAGAAGAGGGCTTGGGGCCCTTGCAGGTGCACCAGGGAAGGACAGGACGTTATTCTACTTAATGGATGAAGAAATAAAATGACACAGAAGTCTGCAAAGGTGCATTGTGAATTCTCATATTTTTCTCTGAAGTGGGGTCTATGTATGGATGGTCTTTCAGAGCTGGGAGATTTTAGTGTCAGAGTAGTTGTCTTTTTCTCCTGGGAGGAAAGCACCAAGATGGTTTGGAACCATGGTGCTCTGTGCTGTATCTGGGCCGTGAGGCCACAAGGGTCAAAGTTGGGTTGATCTTCTTGCATAGAACCTATGCTACTGAAACAGTAAACTGCCAGGCGCCCATCGATTCCTTGGCGACTTTCACGTACAGGACACGGTAAAAACACCATGTCCTGTGTGTGGGTAGTCTCTTGATGAAGACCTGGGCTAGCAGCACAAAGCCAAGCTGCCTCTTGAGACTCTTTCAATTCTCAGGAGTAAATCTTGCATGAGGAATAGAGGCGTTCCTTCACCGTTTATTCAGCACCGGTATGGATATTTATGTTCATACTACCCCAGAGATCCAAGGGGCCGCTACAGTTTAAAGACTGTCGTTAGCATTTCCACCGCAAAAATCTGTTCTAGGACCACCCTTGTTTGTAATGCTAGCTACCAAGAAGAGTGGTTTTCATTCACATCAGAATGAAATGATTTGTGGATTTTTAACTCGCGGGTAATTTTTCTCCTTTTTAAAAGAAATGATATCGTCATTATGTGTTCTCGAAGCTCTAGGCTCTTCTTTCTAAAAATCCCCTCTCCTTCTTCCCAGCTCAACTGAGGAAAGTAATTAGGGTAGGCTCAAAATGTAGAAAACTGTTTCTATATATTATGGGCTTTTTATTATACATTGGGGGAAAAAACAGGTTAACTGCAACAAAACATTCCTTCTGAAATATAAACATTTATCATCTCTACGCAGCATAAATATGGCCCTGAAAGAAGACAACAGAAGGTAGAAGGCAGAAGCATCTGTCTAGACACCCATGTGTGTAGCTATGCACGTGCCATGTGTTAAGCCCAAAGAAAATCAATGCTAGAGGTGCAAAAGCAAGGCTTTTTGCAAGAGCAAAGGCTTTTACTCAAAGTAACTTGATCCAAGTCAAATGCTTGGTTTCCTAGCTAAGCATTCCAAACATCAGTATTTATTCAGTCAGTAAGTATTTACTGAATGCCTACATAAACCCAAGGACGCAGACTATAAACACAAGTGTGTACGGAACATAATTTACGCATCGCTATAGGGCTTTTGAATGATTCTCTGATAAATGTATACGATGGGTTTGTCTCTTGGGTTAGACTCCTCTTGAAGTTTACTTTTCTCCCACAAAGATTCACAGGACTGTGCATAGAAAGAGCCGGGTGGGCGGGGGGGTGGGGTGGGGGGATTCCTATTGAGAGCAACGCTAGTTCTCCTACTTTCTGCTGTCATGAATTTGGAAGCTGGGAGGTCGAAGGAGCTGGGTGGCCTCAGGTGGGAGAGCTAGTTCATCAGCCCCAGGGTATTTCCTCAGCTGCCAACTCACCTCACCCTCCACTATGCCATCCCCACCAAATCTGTGAGTGTGGTCTCATTTTATCCCTGCTTTATGACTGTGATTTTAAAAATTGTGTGTATTCGTGCACACGTATACACCATCTGTCTTAGGAACAGCAGACGAGTTCAGGACCCGTGGTGACACAACTGACGACACCAAATGAGCAGAATCCTTCCTGGCCCACTCGGACACACCAAAGACACTGCCTACTGCTGATGTGGCCTGGCTTTCACCTTTGACACCCTCTTTCTTAGATTTCCCCCAGAGGGAAAGGAGTCCGGCTGAACTTCAGCCACTCCCAGGGAACGTCTGTGCTCTGAAGCCTTTTTGCCGTGATGTGTGTCAGGTGTGTTCCTTGATGTTGGAGAAAATGAAAAGGTTCCCAACTTGGAAACTAAAAAGAGCTAGAGGAAACAGGTTGCCTTTCTAGTGAATAGCTTTCACTCAAAACGTCTCCCATACCAGAGCAACATGAACGGTGAACTCCACTCCAATGCCGACGGAAGCGATCAAGATGACCACAGGCACGGCACTCAGCTTGATTCCAATGAGGCCCATCATGCCAAAGAGCTCGACCGTCATCAAAGCCAAGACTGTCACCTTGAAAAAGACACACAGGATGAGCGGCTGGGCACAAACACACTCTAGGTGTCGCAAAAATTTTTTCAAAACTGTTCCCCGAGCGCAATCTATAAGGAATTATAGAAACACGCACTCATTGCTGGCTACAAATTTAATACAGTTTAAAACAAGGTGTTTCCTTCTGTTTTGATCTTAACCATCAGAGACCATCCTTCAACTTATAACTGAGTTGCAACTAGAGTTTTTGGTTGCCTTGCCCTCCATCCTTAAGAAAGCTGATCGGACGGGGTGAATAAAAGTTCTTTGACGTAAAAGTAGCTTTGCTTTTGCTTGGAGAGTCCATGGACTGAGTGAGGATGACTTGGGAGAAAGGGGACGTGTGGTCAGCTGATGTGGGTCAGGTTACAGCCCCTTCACTTTGAAGAAATGTGGAGTTACTGGGGTGGACAAAGCAAACAGTCAAATCCAAGGAAAAGCTTTTATTTGCCTTTCTTTCATCTGCCTTGTAAAAATTTCTAGGGGGATGGAAAGAAAATCTGTGTGGCAGACTTTGGAGTTTTTGGGGCCAAAGAGGAGAAAATACAAATAAAACAATGAACTACACAGAGACAAAAGAAGGAGAGAACGATCTTTCCTTCTGGAGGTGGGGGTCAGCAGGCAGTGAAGGGGGGACAGACAAGTACAATAAAAGTTCCCTTTGCTTTCTTTTAATAAGCTAATGAAAGATGGATAACATCAATTGCTTAAGTACCATGAAAACTCCTATAGACTAAACATTTACCTTTAAACATACCTGTTGCACAGACTTATGGTGCAGAAACAAGACCTGGTCTCTGTTTTTATAATTCTGGCATTTTGAAGGCTATACCACAGTTCATGGAATTTAAATACTGCCATGATTTTATTAGACTCTACCCAAAACTTGTTTCAAATCTGAGAGTATTATACTTGGAGAAAGAATGCAAAAAACAGGTTGGTAATACTCGTTTATCAATTCTGCCCAAGAGTTAAAACAAACACACCACACAAAACCATCCCTAAAACCATTTAACCATATACCACCATCCTAACTTCTCGAATTATCGCTCCATTTAGAAGAATCTTCTCTATATTTGGTCCGGGATGTAGTAACAAAATGACACTTGAACTGAAAAAACAGTTACGCTTTGAGTGTTTGCATTTAATAAATGCTCAGCTCTATATTATGGAAAGTGTGCTCAAAAACTCCCCTATCTTTACACAAAAAGTTTAAAGGAGAGGGGACAGAAGATTAAGGCCATTAAAGGCTCTACCTAACCATGAACCTCACCACCTCCAGTAGAATAAATACAGTATGGATGATGCAATCTATACCCTCCTCCAGAGGCCCAGACATAAACAAAACTTCCCGGCTGCAGAAAGAGCTATGCTGAAAGGAATGTGACTTCCACAAAGACCCTTAGAATAAACTCACAATGATCCCGGCCGTCCAGGGGTTCAGGAGGAAGACAGCACACACGAGGAACGTGCAGGCCAGCACCACGCTGATGGACAGGAGAAGCCAGTGGCGGAGGCCGATGTACTGCTCCCAGAAGAGGAAGGGGTAGCCGTTGGGGTAGCTGGAGAGCCCCAGGCTTGTGTAGTTGTTGCAGATCGTTCTGACTTTTTCAATTGCTTCAACGAAGTCTGAGGTGTCACGCAAGCCGTTGAGGTAGAAAGGGAACTGAGCGTATTCGATGGGCTCTGCTGCTGGGACTGGAGAGAGAAGGCAACAGGGAGAGGGCCCATGGATCAGGGGCTCCTGGCAATACTGAGAAAGGCAAACGGACGCCATCCAAGGGTGGAAGAAATGCAACAAGCTCCCACCGTTAGCCATCCCAGACGTGCATCCCCGGGTTCTCCACAATTGCAATGAGAAGAGAAAGAACTCGGCAAGAAAGTCCACTTACTGCACCTCTTTCAACACGAAGGACAAACAATACCAATGATGGTCTTCAGGTCTTTACAGTTTCAATCTTTGGTTTAAGAAATTTTAAACAATGATCAACCTTTGATTTTGGGGTGTGTGTGTGTGTGTGTGTGTGTGGAGGAGGAGCCCGTGATCTCTGTATTGATTTACCCTTAGATTTTAATCTTCTAGAAGCAGTCACTCTTTGGAATGGGTCTAAACAACTTAAGAATTCAATTGTGGGAACATTTTTTTTGTTCAACTGACACAAGTGAAAATACTAAGTTCAAACTGTTTTACTCAATCACTTATGAGAACAAAATAACTCGAAAGTCATGCTTTACTGAGAAAAACGCTTGACTTTCTTATCCTTTTAGTGATCTAACACACTTAAACCTTCCATGCTTCTTTTTTTTAATGCAATGCTAAGTCTTCAGCAGCAGGGGAAGAAATCCTTACACAACAAGCATTTAGTTGCTGCCGTTGTGTGTTCCAGACCCTCTGGGGTCATTCAGTTGACTTGCTAAACATGATTTGCCCTATTATAATCTCAACTATAAATTTTCATTAAGACAAGCCTTGGCTGCTTGCCACAAGGCTCTGAGGTTTAGATACAGGGAAGCACAACCCGCCTGCTCTCCAGCCATGTTCGCAAAGGGACCTGTCTTCTTTCTCACGTCCTCCCTTGGACTCGTACCCAAGGTATACGCTACTAATATCTCTAACCCAAATGCAAATTAAATCCATCCAGAACCACCTTTCAAAGTCGGGGCTGAGAGGTGAAAGGAAGAGGACGCTGTTGTATACAGACTTTTCTGCTCCGGTTTAAACAGCTTTGACAGAGTACAGGTGCTTGGTGGCTTATAGGAATGACCCAACTTGCCAAAAATCCCTTCAACACCAGAGTTGACAAAGTTAAGATAAACATATAATCCCCAGCGATAAAACTCTGCAACAGTAACACAACACTCGACCTGGAGGCGTCCCCAACTTTCACATGGAACAGCTGGCATTAAAGAGAGAGGCCTGGTGGACGTTTTCGAGTCAAAGGCACGAAGGGAGATTACAGACTCTTATTTCTCAGTGTGATAGAGCATGAGTTGCATTCGATTACACATCCTCATCTGTCTCCCAGAGTTTTAAACTAAAAGAAATATATTGTTCTGTTTACACTGTTGAACCCTGCGTAGTGTCGACGGATGAGGGCTGGGACTGAGCCTGGAGGTATGGCGTGTAAGGAGCCCCATAAGCTTGCAGGCCCAGTGGAAGGCTACTTACTTCTCAGCCTGGTTTCTGGCATGTAGTCGGCTTTGTCGTGGACCCACTCAGGACGGTGAGGCCGGATGTTGGCTTGGGAGGCGGCGTACGCCACGGGGTCGTTGCTGACCCAAGCGGTCAGGTAGATGTAGAAAGCGTTGGGATTAATGATGCCGTCTGCATCCACCAGGCGCCGTTTAGTGAGCTGCAAAATGGGCAGAGCAGAAGCCTTTCAGAGGGGTGCTTGGGGTACGCACACTCCTGCCTAGAGAGAATAGGAGCGGAGCTCTGCACCAGCATTTGCAGCAAAGGAGAGAATGCCCACTGTTTGCAAGTACAGAAAATCCCATCAGAACACCTTTGCTTTCTTTCAAAATGCACTTATCGGAGGATGCAATAACCGGCATGTTTATAACACACACACACACAGTTCTGCAGACGGCCCAGGAATGGACTGAACCAATTAAATCTGAATGCTAAAAGACTGTCTGCTGCCAGGGCGGAGAATGAACAATCTGAAGAAACATATTTATAGGAGAGGAAGGGGGAAAAAAACCTGGCAAGAATCCCCATACACGTCTGTGTGCAGTTAACCTCTGCTGTTAACACTAAAGGAAATGCCACCCAGTAAATGGAGGAGAGCTATAAAAATAAAACAACATCTGTATAAATTTTGCTAACACTAGCCTCCTATGACCTGTGTATTCAAAAAATGCCCATCGCCAGAAAGTGGAAGGGACGGGTGCACAGCCTTGGTCTTTCTTGGAATCTTATTCTGAGAGAGGTGGTCACACATAGTACGCCACATCCTGTGAGGATGCCAAATGCTATGCTCCCTCTAAAGTGGGTCTGTGGGCCTTGCATAGGTGAAAGGCATCAGATGACAGATATACAGAGACCCACACGTATGTGTGCATATACGTTTTCCTGTTTACTTTAGATTGAGAAGCGGTTCCAATGCTTTTGGTCTTTTTTAACAAAATGAAAACACCAATGACAGAAGTTAATAGAGAAAGAGTGAAGGAAGAAAGGGGAGGAGAGTGAGAGAACTAAATTTTAGGGATCTGGATTCAATTAATCCACAGGATATGTAACAACTGTACGTCTTCAAGCCGTCTCTGGAATTACATAGTACAGCTCACGGCCTCCGTGCACACAGCACGCCCTTCTCCCTCCCAGGCGGAGGAAATGATGTCCGGGGGCCTGGCCCAATCACATTTGTTCCACAGTGTCCCTGGTCCCTAAAACCCAACCCAGCCCCCCGGGCATCCCCGCTATCTCTCAGACAGACGCCTCTGCCCGCAGCCCTGTCAAACCAGACAGCATGCCCCATGTGGCCATAAAGCACCAAGTTCACACTCCATAATAACTCTGAACAATGTACTTTGTAAATCTGTCACCTTTAATGCCAGCAAAAAAGGGGAGACAATAAACAGAGCTGCTAGGAAGATCATTAGCATGACGGTTTTCTGCCTGCAGTAAGTAAGCAAGTAAGCTACAAGGGGAAGCCAGTAGTGGGGCTGGACTCATTTGAAACCTGAAGGGTCCAAACGCCCTCCCCAGCATGCCCAAGGAATCAAAAGGGATATGCCGGAATCCAAGTGTCACAGCCAAGAGGCAAATGCAGCTGGAGAATATGATTACCAAATAGAAACAGCTCTTCTTACTTAGGGGGTAAGCACAACAGTGAGTCCACTCAGATTCCAAGGATTTCCATCTGCCTCGCTGATGAGAGAGCAATCCGTCTGTCCTCCTCTGCCCCTTAGGCCACAGCAATGCAAAGGAATCAAACACAACAAATCTTCCTATCCTTCTCTCCTTCCCTAACCCATCCATCCACGCCAAATTCTATTCTTTCAAATTCTGCTCCCCAATGGATCCACCTTTCCAAGTTTGGATAAAACCAAGACCGACACGGTAACAAGCACAAGAATTCGAAAGAGAACAACGCAACACAGTATGTCTAACATCTGAAAGAGTCTGCATTGCCTCAACTAGACTTTCTTCTGACAATTGCTCTGAAGGTAAGTAACACACTCGTCCCCACTTGACAGATGAGCAAGGTGAGGCTCTCTGGGTTGCCTGCAGTCATCCGATCTGCTGGTGGAATGAAGAGAATTAGAGCCAACTCAATATTCATTCTTCCAGCCCCCGATGCCTTGGATCTGCAGAGAGCACAGGCTGGGATCGCACGCTGTCAAGCAGTCTTCAGTGGCAGTTGCCCCAAAGCCCTGCTCAACGACGCTCTCCGAAGCTCCCATGGTATAAGGCAGTGAGCGTACCTGGCTGATGTCGATGGGCTTATCACGGCTGCCGGTTTGCACCAGGAGTTTGTAGGCAAGGACCCCGTCATCTGATCCATTTTTGTAATTGTTTGGCATGATTTTCCCAGTTTCCCAGTCACTGTCAAATGCATCCTGAAGTCCTAGAAAAGGCAAATGTGTGTAATACATTATAACTCTTATCCAGAATGATCCTGGTCCTAACAGGGTGCTCTGAGGACAGCGGAGCGTTTGCCATCAACCCCAAACACTCTGTATTCTAGTTGTATTTGACTTCATGTGACACTATTAGATTTTTCGTGAATGAACTTCAAGTTGCTGATAATCACTGCCTCGAAGGCAGAAGGGGAGAGTATTCATTTCTAGGAAACAAATACACATGTTTTACCTCAAAAAGCACCCCCCAAACTCCACTTCTTCTCCCCCATGACAAAAGAAAGCAAGAGGGCTGGGTGAGAAAGACACGCCAGGCCCATTCAGTGTTTCGTGCCACTTCAGGTGCTAAGCCATGGGTTCTTCGATACAACCAGAAATTCCACTCAGAGCAGGAAAAACACATTCAAACTCCCAACTTCAAACAGCAACTCAGTTGCTTCTCCAGCCCTGGGTGAGTGCACATGATTCTGTCAATTTGTTCCATCTGTTCGACTTGTGGAGCTAATACAAGCTGTGGGATCGGCTGCCAGGTTGTGTAAAGATCACAGCCGACACCTATTCACTCTGGACTGTTCTCTTCCTCTCTGCCACCCTTCCTCCAAGAGGGGCTGTGGAGGAGAGAGGAGGAGGGATCTTGTGTGCATGTGTGTGCAGGGAAATACCTCACAGGGTAAATTTGGATCATATTGAGAACAGGAAGCCACAGGCCAATAGAAGGGGGCTCTGTGAGAACAGATGACAAACCGCAAGGCCAAGGAGGGGAAGGAAAGAGCTTTCTGGGCTTGGGGGATGGGCGCGCCCACCAGCCCACCACACACAGCTGCGCTTGGCTTCTGTAATCAAAACCATCATTACAGACCTGACGGTTTGGCTACAGCTGTAAAGAGATAAGCGTGTTGGAAGAGAAAACAGGGCCCTGGTGACCCGGCCCTCGGGTCTGAGCAATTGCTGGCTTGCACACACTCTCCTCTGACACCCCCCCCCCCCGCTCTTCCGTCGCCCTGCTCCCCCAAACCACCTCCCACGTTGAGCTCCCAAGCCCCAGCAGCCCAGGAAGCCACATCTTCTGAACCAGCTGCACGTGCACGGGTTAGACGTGGCCAGTAAGGAGGGAGGAGGGGTTGTTTCATTTCACGACACGCCCCCGTTCCCCACAACACACGGAACTGGTTCCGTTTGTACTCAAAATAGTTAAACTCTTGGGGTTTGAAGTTGGGGGGAGAAGGGAACACAGGACTCTCTCTCTCTCTCTCTTGTTCTCTCTCTCTGTCCCAACTAAACCTTCCTTCCGACGTTGCTGTGGGCGTTGTTTTCACAGGAACAATTTGGGGATGAGGGCCTCGGGCTCGGTGGTGAAAGGCGGCCCTGTTCGGGGAACGTGGAGTGGCCGCGGGGCCGGGCGGGGAGACCACCGGGATGGCTGCGCTCCCCTCTCACACAGACTGTTTTTCATAGCGAGGCATGCATACAACCGTCAGTACTGAACAGATGTTATTTTATTACCTAAAGCCTTTTTTTTTTCCTGTTTTTGAAAAAAATAAACAGGAGAGAAAAAAACAACCCCTACCAGAAAAGAGGCCTGTTTTGTTTTCCTCACTATAATAGAATTTCCATCACTTTGTGGCCTGTAGGCACTTTAACCCTTTCCTCTCGACCTGCTATCCTGAGGAGCAGAGCTCACGCTTATTGTGAGTGTGGGGCTGTCTAAGCATTTTACATTGATCACCCCACGTTCAATTCTTAAAACGACCTCATGAGATAACCTACTGGTATGATGGTTCCCACTTTACAGATGAGGCTTGGGAACGTGAAGTAACTTGAGGAAAGTCACCCAGCGGGTAAGTGCTGGAGCTAAGCTTTGAACCCAGGCAGCCTCTTCCAGGGTCAGCTGGAACCACGAATGCTCTGAATCTCCCTGAATGCACTATGGTGCCCAGGAAACAAACATCTGTTGATAGAGTTAACGTGGACACCAATGACATCTGGTGGCAAATAGAGGGCCCCAAAAATCTGAGTGCGGTTTTATGATATTTATACTCTACGACTCTGGGGACACCCTAGAGTGAAACAAGGAAAGAAAGATCTGATCTGGGGAGGTCAACCCTGTTGGCAATTCCACTCAACTCGTCACCTACGCTGCTGGCCCCCTACTCGCCATTCACTCTGCTGGGGGCTTCACGATGAATGAGAAATAATCATTAACTTCACAGAAAAGTTAAGTTCTTTCATAATTAGTGTATTATTTTCTGATTAATTATCAAAAGGCTCAAGTAACAATGGTTTGGCCTAAGTGCACGCACACTATACGGTCTTGACACAAAACAAGGAACAAGGATTTGCTTCTTCCCTTGGCCAAATATTTCACATTCCAACACATGCATAGTGTAGGAAAGAACTGTGACGTTTCACTTATTTTATGGCAAAACATGAAAGTTTTAGCTAGAACTTTTTCATTTAAAATATTTTATACTAGAAATTATTTTCTAGTGTGAAGTTCTGAGTTAATTATCTCAACTGCCAATTTTTCTTTGATACAGGACGCTAAAAAGAAAATGCTAATCTAAATTTTATTTGCATATTTCAGTGTGTAATATAAACAAATACCATGTGTACAGTGTGGTTTTTATCTCCAGGGTCACCTTATTTGCATGTATGCTTAAAGGTGACATTGGAGATAATTTCTGTATCACCATTATACATTTTTATGAGTAAATCCCTCCCCCCACAAACTACTGGAATGTTGCTAAAGACCAATGGGATGATGTGGTTTGTAATGGTCATTCCATTAAAAACTAATGAGGGTCCCATCACTTAGCAACCACACAAAGTGCTTTGAAGGAAAGCTGACTCAAGGATAACTACTTCCTAAGAGGAAATGTTCAAAGACCAAATCAACCACTCAACAGGCCTGAAAAATGTCTAGGCAGCCGGTGGTCCCAGTATCTGGCCATCCCGTGTACACTGCTCTGCCGGACCTTGGTAGAGTCAGATGCAGAGGCCTAGGGCTGGCTGGGACGCCGACCAGTGGGCATGAATGGATCTTACTTGGTCTAGGTGGGTGCTGTTCACTTAGCAATCAAAACATGATTCAAAGGCACCTTTTAAAAAGATTCCCAAGTCCAACTGCTTTAGGTCTTTAAAGGGATGAAAGCATGGGGATAATTTACAATAGGCTATAAAAAGGTTAGCCCTCTGCACTGCCTGGAGACAATGCCCCTCTACCCTCTTCCAAAGCTCCGCCTAACATGCCATATTGAACATTCAAAGGAATGGCCGAAGACACTGAAATCAATTCCAGGATAACCCTTCTTTGCTCAGATACTGGCAGTGCTCTGCAGATCTCTTTGTTATTTGTGGCAAGTTATTTGCATGTCTTTGGCCAAAGGGGGAAAAATGAAAAGCAGGGAATCTCTCAACTTTCTCGTCTTCTTTTGATTCATCATCTGAAAAAAAAAAAACCCACTGCTTCCCAAACTACTGTAAAAAAATAAGACTGGGAACAAATTCAAGTTAATCTCACGAGCATGTTAAAAAATAATGTTAATGTCATGTAGTTCTCTTCGCCTTCCTCAGAAAAAGAGGTCAAATCTGGTAACACATGCACGAACAAAATTCTAGGAACACGAGTCAAAGACAGAAACCGTACTGAAGAATTTTCAATCAAATTCAAGTTGTTTACCATTTCATGCAAACTCACAGGGAAATTGGCTGCTTAATCTTTACATACAAGTGTATTGACTTAAGACCAAAAAAGGCACTTAAATCTGTGTTTAAACAAGCCTAATTAAGTGGGAAATTAAGACAATCATTTGGATAACTTAAGCCAAAAAATGTTGGGGCCATAATTATTTGGGTATTTCAGTAAGAGTATTTTTGCTTGAATTGTGTAGATAATTATCTTGATTCTCCACTTTACTTTGCATGTGTCAACACAAAATAAATGAACAGATGTTCTTAGAATCACTGAATACATTCATATTCAGTCAGCAGTTAGGAGCAAGTTTAGGCCGTCTTTCTCTCCAGTCGACTACTATTTCCTAGAGATGTTTCTAAGGGCAAGGTCAGAAGCTAAGAAAGCATTTTAAAGCAGAAATTGATTATTTATTATATACTATGAGATGTGATCAAGCGATTAAGCTTACTCCATATGGTAAGTCAAAAGATGGTCAAAAGACGGAATTTTAAATTATATTCACCAATGATGCAAAACTACTGATGTAGTAAGTTACAACTCGGCAGTGAGTCAGCCTAGAAATTCCATTAACACTTGGATTTCACTTGGTCACCAAACTAGCCACCATTAAAAAAAAAAAAAAAAAAAGAGGACTAGAAGCATCGAGCTCCGTCTTTTATAACCTACTTTCCCATTTCCTGCTTTAAAATGCCTTTCTCAGCTTCTCACCTTGCTCTTAGAAACATTTCTAGGAAATAGTAGTCGACTGGAGAGAAAGAAGGCCTAAAGTTGCCCCTAGCTGCTGACTGAATAGGGATGCATTCAGTGATTCTAAGAACATCTGTTCATTTATCCTGTGTACTCATAAATTCTTACAGAAGTTCCTGAATCGGCCATTTGAACTGTTTGCATCGTTTTACAGGTAAAAACCAGATTTGGGAGCTGCCCCAGAAAGAGTCTATATAAGGATTTTCAGCAACAATTAGAAGTCAATGAAACATGTCAGTGTTACATTATCATCTAACACTTTAATAAAGTGAACAAAGGGAACTTGTAGACGCTGAACACACCAAAGACCAAATGGTGAATGTTTACCAAGGACAAGGGCCCTCCAGCAGCATCTTACCTTGGAGCCAGTCTCTGAAGTAGTGCAGCCACATTTTGGGAAGCTGTTTATTTTCTTCCAACATGACATACTTCACATTACTGAAACTCTTATGAAGGTCGTAAAGTAAGTGCTGGATATTGGGGTAGTCTGCCTTCTGAGTGACTATATACATGTTGTAGAAAGAGAAGTATTTGAACTGTGCAGCAATAAAGTCATATTCTCTAGTTTCCCGAGGCACAATGTCTGTAAGATCCAGCCCATCACGCACTCGGGTGGTCCCATAAAGGCTGACCCCCAGCAGGCCCAGGAAAAGGAAGATCACCACAACCTGCAACAGAATAAGGGGCCCGAGATCAGACCCGGAGGAACATAACCGACTCTCCCTTGACAAAGATGAGCTGTTTGGTTTATACCTCACTCTTAAACATCACACTATCCGGATGTACAGTGTAGGGGTCGTTTTCCCAGAGGAAAAAACATAAAATCATGGTAATTTTGCTTTTTTTTTTTTTTTTTGGCGGTACACAGGCCTCTCACTGCTGTGGCCTCTCCCGTTGCGGAGCACAGGCTCCGGGCGTGCAGGCCCAGCGGCCATGGCTCACTGGCCCAGCCGCTGCGCGGCACGAGGGATCTTCCCGGACTGGGGCACGAACCCGTGTCCCCTGCATTGGCAGGCGGACTCTCAACCACTGCGCCACCAGGAAAGCCCGGTAATCGCATTTTTTAAACAAGCTCATTTAGAATAAAATCTTTAAAATGCAAGGAGTTGACGTAAATTGAAAGAAACATTTGCCACATAGAGATGCACTCCTGTAGAAGATGAGCTCATTAAAATGGCCTCGAGCTCTAAATGGACTGACTCGTTAGGAGGCCTGAAATACATCACATCTGAGGAAGCAATCGGATGAATTCCAAAGGTGCCTGCTCTGTTATTTTTTGCAGACAGTAGGAGTCTTCTGTTTTGGTAATTACCTTGGCTTTTGGTTTCAAGAGGAAAGGGGCATAGTGCTTCTCGGCAAAAGATGAGAGTGTCCACCTGCTGCAGGGGGGCTCAAGGCAGTGGAGGCTAGAGTCAGAGAACTGGGAGAGCAGGTCCCTCGTGGAGCTGGTGCTCTCGGGGCTCTGGCAGCTGAGCGTGTCCTGGGCCACGGTGACGGGCTGCACGGAGATCTCGGAGCGCGGCTCGGCAGTGGTGTAGTACACGTGCGTGTGGGGGTCATACTCTGTGCGAAGCTGCACCGTAGACTGCATGGTGATCTGGGTTTCGTGGGCAAAGCTGTGGCTGCTGTAGGGGGGCGGGGGGCTGTAGCGGGTGTTATTGTGAGTCTCTGTGTAGGCCTGGGGTTCAACCTGAATCACTCTGCTGACACAGGGGCTGAAAGAGGGGGAAATATGTTGGAATGGTATACCGAAACAGGGAAACGGTGCTTTCATTTCTGCCAATGACTGACATTATTCACTTTACACAGCTCTGACTTAGGAGCAAAACATAGCACGGAACTCCACAAACACCATCCGGTTTATCTATTCGGACACAGACATGAGTCAATCAAAGGAGGCCAAATGGATGGTTGGTCCTGAATTTGGCTGACAAAAATCAAGTTACATGCCGATGAACCTCTTAATGCATAATTCCTTTAAAAAAAAAACCCAAAACCAAACCACCCAAAGGGTGATATGTTTTCCAGATGGTGGTTTTCAACCTTCGTTCTGCCCTAATCCATAGAGATACAACACATTCCCAACAATCAGCAATACTGGTGTGTGGTAAACAATGATCCTGTGTATCACAACCTCGGGGCTGTAAGAATGTTCAGTTGAGGGAGGGGAGAACCCCAGTGACTCCGATGTCCCCCAGAGGAAGCATCCTCTGTCCGTTATCTCCCCTGCGTTCAGCACACTGTTAACTACGCTTCCTTCTAAGTTCACAGACTGAAAATTTCTCTAAACATGACCACTCTGCTCCCAACAAATAAAGGCCACAGGGGCCAGAAAATGTACCTTGTAAAACAGCAGAAAATATCCAATCTCCTGTCCTCACGTCGATACAAATCCATGCTGAGAATTGCAGGAAAAATCAGCAGAACCATAGCAAAATTGAATACCACTACTACAGCCGCCTGGGAGAAAAAAAAAAAAATGTAGAGGTCACTAATACATTTCCTCCCAGTCAGAGGACTGCTTTGAAAATAAAGATGCTTTAAACAAAATCTTTCTTTCACTTTCCTAACTGAGGTGTTTAAGCCTGAAATAGATGCTGGAGTTTCTCATCACTTTGCTTCTCGTCCTTCATTAAGAGACCATTTGATTAGAATAGAGGCCCCCATCATTCCTTTCCATCTCTAATAATTCCATGAGCCCATAGGGTACAAACACAGGAACTAAACTAAACCAAACTGACAAAAGCAGAACAGAGAATATGCTTGAAATGTTTTACTTTAAGATAAAAAGAAACATTTTCCTCTTAGAACATTTCTAAGAGTTCACGTAGCCCTGATTTTACACTTAGAAAATTTATACATAAAGTGGATCGAGTATATCCAAATGTCACCTTTAAAACACAAAATAAAAATTCAAACACGTCCCCCGAGGTTTTTAATAGGCACATTCCAAATAGCCTCTGGAGTAGCCTGTGGGGTGTGCCAGCGCAGTAACATAAAAGGTCAAGGAGAGTTAAGCAGAAATTCCTGTGTGTGATTCTAGTACGCAGAATAAATAAGTACGGATTCAAAAGTCACTCCATAACCTAGAATAAACACAGGGCTAGATTCTGTAGCGCTTTGGCAAATCTCCTGCTGACCTAGTAAAAATTACACAATTGGGCTGTTAATAGGGGAAAGTCAACAGAGGACAGTTGAAAGGGCTCTCCCGTACAGAAAGGCATGGAAAGCAGCAGCATGATGAAAAATGCAACTGGAGTACTAAGTAACCGAGAAATCATCAGAAAGTTTTTTTGAAAAATAAAAACTCTTACAAGGTTTTTCAAAGAACTGCTTAGTTCTAAAACCTTCTCAAACTGGGTAAACGTTTCAAGGTGAGAAAAGAAAACCCGATTACAACTGGTACCGAACAATACCAGAGGAGAACCTTGCAAAGGTCTCTGGATAGTAATTTGTGAATTTATGCTTGAGGTGAAATAGCAAGCCCAAGTTCCGGAGAGATGCTTTTTTCGATAATTAATTCCCTGTCAAGTCTACAAAACCAAAAAATAACCAAGAGTCTCCTAAAAATGACCCAACCCCTCTCTTCTTCGTCTGCCTTGAAAATTCCTCATCAATTCAAAATATATGAAACATGTTAACTGGCCACTCTAACGTATATAACGTACTTTAAAGACCTGCCTAACATGTTATAAGCAAATCACTATTTCGACTAGAGGATTTATCTAAGAGGCAAATAGAAAAAAGGAAAGTCAGGGCAGCGTATTGGGTACAGAAGACACAAAGATAAATAAGACAAAATCCTGCTCTCAAGGAAAGACACAGCCAGAACTATAAACAAATTACAAGCTAGGCTGACAAATGTAGTAATAGAAGCATGCCAGGGTTCCAGAGCGGCTCAGAGGAGGGGAGCATGCAGGTGGGGGTACACGGGGGTGGGGAGAGTGGCCAGAAAAGGTTTCTTGGGAGATGGAGAAGACAAAAAAGGATTTGGGGAGGACCAGGGAGGAAGGATGCATGGAGGAAATCCGACAGGCCGTGTCTGAGTTTAAAAGCTATGCAGTACTGCTGGGTTTAAAATTCTGTTGAGGGAAGAGAAAGGAGGAGGAGTGATGGGAGGTCAGGTAGTTAAGTTACACACGATCCGTTCGATTCTTACAGCAACCAGGAGGCAGACGTTAGTCCTGCTGTCGACCCTTTACCTAATAAAGACCCGTGGTGCAGAGGAAGGTCACCTGCCTGAGGCTCCCAGTAAATCGGATTCAAACACAGGCTTGATGGCCTAAGCCCCCAGCCCAGCTGGGACCTGGGAGTTCTCGTTAGATCTGATCACCTCCTGAAGGGACAGACACGGGGGGAGGGTTAGGATTCCTGACCAATCGGAACATAGGGGAGAATGCATCTGCTCCTCAAGGGTTTTCCAGGAAAACTTAATCTTGGGGGGTGGAATCCTGTCAGCTTTTCTTTTTATTACAGTCATGCTTAGAATTCAGGAGTATAATTGCAGACAAGAAACTCTGGGCATCTCATTTTGAACAGAAGTTCCTGAGGATGAGGACAGAGACTGTGAAAAGATAAGCCATGCAGGTGTATACAGGTGGCCCAGATGTTGCGGCCAAAACAACACTGATGCTTTCTGCCATGGCTGGGGAATGTATCTGATACCAACCAGCCTCATCCATCAGAGAAATCTGATGGGCATCTTGCTTGGTCTCTTTGTGGTGGAAATGGAGAAACGAAAGAAGAAACCCAAGGTAGCTTCCCATCTAAACTTACTGTCCAACAGCTTATTACATACATAGGTAGGACATTTACTGATAAGAAAGTTGTAAAACTTCAACATCCTCTGAAGTGCACTGAAATAATAAAAACAAACGGCAAGGATTGCTCAGTAAGAGAGAAGTGTCACTGCTAGAGCAAAGAGCACTTTAAGAAATTTCAAGTAAATGTGAAAAGATGATGGGGATGATCCTGCACCGTCAATCAATTCTAATTGCTGTGCTTTAAGGAAACGTCCCATTCCCCTGCAAAGCATCTATGGGTGGCCCCACTGAGACACTTGCAGAGCAGAGAGGAACTGGCCCTGCCTAGAGGGGCCCTCGTCTAAACCCTCTTACCATTTGGAACAATAAGGCATTCTGTTCGGGGACTTTTCATTGAAGAACAAATACCATTCAGTTACCAGCAAAGCCCCAGTGTAGGGCATTCGTTTTCAAAGAATTATAAACAGTGCCACTGCTTTCTGGTATAGAGGTGGCATTTGGACAGATGGATAAAGATTGACAAGGAGGTTTCTTTGGGAAAGAAATTCTATTTATTTTGGCAAGGTTACAAAATTGGAAAGGCTCCACAAGGAAAAATTTTAACGTGGGTTTATCACTGGACAGAACCATTTTGGATATGTCCTTCTGATGCTTAACCTAGAGTATCCTGAAAATACAAATACAAACGAATACCCAAAGTTACAACTTAACACAGTTACTAACGTAAAGAGAAACTATATAATGGTCAATTTCAAACGTCAATACATTTTAAAGGGAACCAAGTGTAAAATTCCTGATGGCTACTGCAAAAATCATGGCATGCTCTTTTTTCTTAAATTTTCTATTCTTCTTTTTTACTTTTTGTGTTTGTTTACTGAGAATGAACCAGTATCACAGGAAGCCATTCTCTAGCAAATGAGCACTTCTAGAAGCTGTAGATGCAATTCCTAAAGTGATACTCCAGTGCCTTGGAATAGAAATGCAAAACCAACAGTATTCATTTCATCTCAGTAAGGTGCTTACCTTGGGAGAACTTAGCGTACTGGATTTTCTAAAAGGCGTAAGGAAAACTCATGTAGCTTTTCAGACCACCACACCATAGGATATCATTAAAGGACAGTATGCCTTGATGAATCATCAGTTTGTACTGAGAGAGGAGAGGAGAAAATGAGAGAGAGGGACAAGAAGAAAAGAAGGAGCGTGAGGTAAAGCAGATAAAGAACAGCGAGGGAAAAGGCAGGCAGAGAAGGACAGAGGAGGAGGGAGGGCCCCACTGTTAAAAGACTCTAGAACAGTTTCTCAGTACCAGAATCTGCTGTATACGAGACAAGAGCAGGCTATCAAAGGGTGCTGCACACGTGCATGGCTGTGCAAAAGGTGTCCTAAAACTTCAGTTGTACCAATAAATTAGTAGGCATCTTTTATTTACCTTCCATATTACTGAGCACTTCTTAGATATATTTTCATTTTCTTTGAACTTTGGTCCCACTTTCAGATTTAATGTATTCATTTATTCACTCACTACTTCCATTTCTACTTTCTATATGTTTATAATAAAATGAAAATAAGCTTTTTTTTTTTAGTATTTTTCTTTTTGGGGGGCCTGGTGGTCATAGTGATGGGTACAAAACCTTACACCAAAGAGTAAACAAGTCTAGTGTCCCAAGTGCAGTAAGATCACTAGTTGCTTAGGCCTTTATCGGTAATTAGTGAAATAAGATTCATATCTGAAGGCTAGAGAAGAGCTGAGTGTGTTGACAAAAATATAAATAGAAACCTAATCTATGACTTGTCAATTTCTCTTCCTGGTCACAATCCTTTGAACCTTTTGGTGATTAAAAGGAGTAAAGCAGTATGAATAAGCTGGATGGATGTAACAAGAGTTTAAAAAGTGACACCGAAAATAGTTTCCTTTAAAAACCTGGCCATCTCAGGAATTACTATCCCATTGTAAGAGAGGAGGAAGAGGGAAAGCCACTGCTCCTTTAGTCTTTCTTGGAAACCAGTTGGAGCTTTAAAATTTGAATTTCATTCACAAAACCTCAATAATATCCTTGAGAAATCAAAACCCTAAACCACTTCAGGCTTAGGAAGACCACGCCACAAACTGGGCAAGGAGCCTCCTTTATCTACTGCGTTGACCAATTTCAGGATTCCCCACGAGTTTCAAGCAGCTGAAGAGCAATGCCAGTACTTTACACCAAGCACAGAACTGACCATAGCTGCATCCCCAGTCGCGGGAACTCTCCATTCTTACAATTCATGTTAGCTGGCTCTTTGGAAACATATCTCAGAGGCCTCTAGATGTGAAAGGGCCTGGTTTGGAAGGAAAGAACAGAACAACGATGGACCAAATTGCTCTGCGCAAGAAAGGGAGAGGAATTCTGTGTTTTCTTGGGCAGCCTCAGGGTCCGATAGGGAACCAAAAGGAAGGAGAAGAGGGGACAGGAAGAACAAGGAAGGAGAGGTGGCAAGTAAGGGCTGGCCAATCCCTCCTCACACAGTGAGGAATCTAACGCTCAATTTTAAGGTATGGCCTGGCGTGGGCTACACTGCAACCTCATCCTCGTGTCCGTGAAGTCTGCTCCGCGCAGCGGCTTTGTGTTGGGGGCTGCTTTAGGGAAATCAAGAGATGGTAGCCAGCAGGGGAAGGGGGTGAGCACAGAAACTGAGAGTGGAGTTTAGAAGCAGGGACAAACAAGAGCTGGCTGCACCAGGGCCCAATCCAAAGGACTCCTGATTATCTGCAGTACGGGCTTACAGGCGTCCCACGTGGAGTGGCCCTGGGCCATGAGGATACCCAGGCCTCAGGCTTCTGAGCTATAGGGCTTTAAAGGAAAGAAAGAACCCTAGAACTTTCTTTCAGAGGGAGCGTCAAGGTTATTGCTTACAGAAGCATCCAGCCAGATGAAAGAGTCCCCAAAGCTGGCATGCGGCTCTACTTCACGGTGGTGGTACTGTAAGCACATCACTGGAGAAAAGTAGACCTGGAAGGCTCGCTGCTGAGCGCAGCGCTCACAGATCCCCCCCGGATCTAGTTACTGGAAACTCACCTGCAGGGAGAACGCCCGCAGAGCGGGAATCGGGATCAACGCAGCCATGAAGAAGGCTGTGACGTTGCTGATGGATGTAAGGGCCACGCTGGCTCCCGTGCGCTTGAGACACTCCCCGGTCCTGTCCTAAGGATGAGAAACCACAGTGCTGAGAGCTGCACAGGGCGGAGTCCCCGCAGACCACAGACTGTGTGAAATAAGACAACTGGTAGTTTACAATGCTGACGTGAGGGGATAAGAAAGGGATATCTCTGCCTTTCCCTCTAACAGCAACACTGAAATTCAAGTTTTCAGTGCTATCTACACAGTCATGTGTTGTTCATGGTTATTACTATCCAAAGCACAAAGCTGCAAGATAATGATTTAAGTACATTTTTAATATGGTTAAAAAGGGGCAAGGAGAAATGAGAACAAAGTAACCAAAAAACCCAAAGAAACAAACGTGCACTTTGGAACAAGTCTCCTGAGATGCTTTTAACTTACTTCACTTATTTAGAGTCAGTCACGTGTCATCTGACTTGGGACTGAAATATTTACTGGGCCAGATAGAGAAAAGTGGAAGGACAAACACTCAGGAACAGAGAGGGGCTTCTGCTGTCCTCAAAGGTTTCTTCTTTTGTTTTTCTATTACCTCAAAAGGGATTCTTTTATTCTGTCCCGTTTCACTAAATGCATGCGCCAGAAGGAAGACATCATCCACACCAACGCCAAGAGCAAGAAATGGCAAAACCTGTAGTGAAGACACAGCACAGTGACATGAGACACGTGAGGTCCAGTTCTGAGAATTCTACAAAGCCATTTAAAACACTGCCACCAGCACCCCAAGGAGCTTACCCAAAGGATGGCTTACATGAACTCATGTGAAAAATTTAGTTTTATCTGATAGTTAGACCCCAAAGTCTAGCAGTTGTGGCTCACAGCAGATCTTGTCCATTACTATGTCTAAGCTCCACGTACAATAATTTTTTTAAGTTAACAAATGAGAAGGAATTATACTCCAATAAAGATGTTAAGAAAAAAAAAGTGAGAAGGAATCCATCTCATTTAAAGCAGTGGTTCTCAGAGCGTGATGCCTAGACCAGCAGTGTTGGGAGCTGGCTAGAAATACAAATTCTCCACCCTCACCCCAGATGGACTGCATTAGAAACTCTGGGGATGGGGCCCAGCAATCAGTTTTCACAAGCCCGCCAGGTGATGCTAACGCACACTCAAGGTTAAGAACCACTACTCGAATAAATGATCTAAATTCCACCGATAAATGAAGCATCTCTAACTAATCAACAAGCCCATTCAGACCTGCCACTGTCAAGTGGTCCACTTAGAGACAGCACCCCCCTGAGAAATGGGGCATCTTAGTGGAAAAGGCTGGAAGACCCTTTAGGTGACATGGACACACTGGAGGCCAACTGGGCAAGCCCGGAGAGGGGTGTTTGTCAATGAACAGCAGACGGATGGCTCCTTTAGTACCTGAGTTGTTGCAGCATTAAAGGAAATCCCGATCAATGAGCACAGGCCCAATCCTGCAGCCACTGACAGTGCAACCAACAGGACACCAGCCAGCCCCACGGCACCCTGGGACTTGGAGCAGTCCCAGCGCAGCATGGTTAAACAGGCATAGGCAAGCTACAAGCAGAACAGTTGGGCAGGGTGGTGGGGAGGTGAAGGAATGAAGGGGAGTTGGAGGAAGGGGGGAAAGGAGGAAGGGGGAGACACAAAACAAAAGCCAAACATTAGAATGTGTAAAGATTCTAATGTTTTCCCCCACCCATCACCCCAAATCAAAAGGTAGAACTTATTAAATCGAACAACAACAAAAATTTACATTACAGACATCATACGAAATGATACGAGTCAAAGGTGGGCAAACTGCAAATGGTAATAAATGCTTTACACGACCACTTTTTAAACCGTTACGAAGCCGAGCTCTCTCTGTCTTGGCTGCAAGTGTGTGTTAAGAGCAGTTAAAAAGCAGGGGCAGTCATGGAAAGGTAAAAACTAAAAAACAAAACAAAAACGCCCCCTGGGAGAACCGAATTGATTGTTACCATCAGTAAATAGCCACTGGCCACTCGGATGACGCTGACATCAGAGAAGGACTTGAGGATGTCGTCCAGGGTCGTCGTGGTAAAGGAAAGCACCTTCTGAGTGGAGTTCTGAGCGACGCTTTGATGAACTACCTGCGGTCACAACGCAAGGATAAATTCCCAGATGGGATTAAAGCTACGGTGAGCTTCAAGAGCACAGACCTCTCAGGTGACATGTCCCCTTTACCCAACCCCCACTTTTTTCTGATGCCTTGAAAAGAGCTCTCCATGATTGGGGTTTGAACTTGGACTAACGTTGAAGGACCTGAGCCTGGGACAATGAAGGCTATTACTAATCAAACGAGAATGTGGTGCTGTGGTGAGCCGGTGAGCCTGCGTAATTGAAGTTTTCTCCGACAGCCTTATTTATGCTATGTCTAAGACTACTATTCTCCTCTCCATAACTCTACAACTGATTTGCGGGCCCATCAGTTCCCCCCTAATCCAAAACAACTCATTCTTAGGGGCACTCCTCCCCCTCTTCATTCGCTGGCCACTTTTAAAAGGTCACATGCAGCTCAGTAGAGGTCACTGCTTGGGAAACAAAGGCCAGCTCCTGTCACATGACCTAACCAAGGGGACTGCAGCTGTGAACAGATTCTATGCCTTGCTAATGTTTTCCAGACACCTTTTTTTCGCTAACCAAGTGTTTTTTTTAAACACTGTTATGCCTTAGCTCTGGGGTTCACAATTGGTTACTCAAAATGTTTCAGGGCATCACAATTAGAATTAGCATCACCCAGATAGTGAGATTTTCAATATAAAGAGAAGGAAGAAGTTTTCATCCCCCCAAGTTCTCAGAATTACAATCAGTTTTGAAAATAAATTCTAACGAAAACAATGCTTTAAAACGTTAAAACGAAGTATTTAGTAACTAAGGGGTTTGTACTCAGGTTCAAAGGGCGTCAGAAGGCCACCCATTTACCTCCACATACGTCCTCTGCCAAGCCTCCAGGATGGCTGCTGCCTTGTCCTCGTTCCAGTTGATGTGCGAGACATACTCATAACCCTTGAAGTGTTCGTACATTTGCTTGGGAGTCATTAACTGAAACATGGTCTGCAAGGCGTGGGCGCTGTGATGGGGTGGAAAAGGCACACCATCAGCCTCTCCAGGAAGCAGCTCTCACTGTGCAAAATCCCCACCGAGCACCCCCGACTCACTCGCAGCCATTCTGTCCTATGTGAGCACATGTTTCCATTAAAACGGGACCTGGATGGTTATTTTATTTAATAGATTGATGTACCATATTAAAGGTGTAACCTTACAAACCTTTTACAGATACACCCCCAAATTAAATTAATAGGCAATTTCCTTTCTCAGTTTCTAGTCAACGAAACAGGAAGGGTAGTGGAGTAGATAGCCTGATCAGATATGCTGGGCTCCGCGCTGCACGCTTGCTTGTGCAGAAATCCCAGACGACAGCTCTCCCAAGGGAGAAATCTCAGACGGAGCGCCTGACACTTGACGGAGCGGAGTCCACAAGTGCACAGAGGATAGTTCTCATTTAGCCCTCAGTCGTTGGTCTTTCCCTTGAACAGTCTGTGATGGAGTTCAGCTCATATCATTTAACTCCACATGGTATGACCGATTCCTCTTGCCTACTTTATAGTTGCCCTGATTTTCTACATCACGGGTAGATCTTCTAAAATCCTACAATCACTAACTACAGTCTCAATGAAAATGATAAATCTTGAAAAATTCCCCATAAGGTGCTTTTCTGAGCCGGTCTAGTCCACTAATATTTCCTAATATTCTATTACACCAGACAGCTAGCTAGGGTAACAGTTAAGTATTAATACAAATACACTTGCAGACGTCAGAAGGGAAGTGGTTTCTGAGGAAAGGACAAAAAATAGACGGCTTGGATTTTCCTCCACGTGTTGGATTACCTGACAAGCTTTCCAGTGCTGTTCTTGACTGTGCCACCCACAATCAGTTCCTCCTGCCAGTGCATATACTTTCTGGATAATCCATGACACCCACCATTCAAAACAAGGGCCATATCAAGAGGCTAAAAATAAAGAGACAGCCTCATAATTACAGGAATTAGTAGGCAGGTCACATGCCTTGTTAAAATCCAGTGCATTAAGGGCTTGTTTGTTTCAGTGAGAACATTAATAACGAGGCTAATGAGAGGCGTATGGCAAATCTTACAGCAAAATTTAGCTCTTTAAACAAACTTAGTTCCATAGACCAAAAAAGTCATCGAGAATGCAATCTTAAAAATAAAAATAATAGAACTAAAAATGGGGGCACATGGCAAGTTTCTCTCCCTTCCCCGCCTGAGGAGCAATCAATGGCTGTACTTACTTTGGTTGCATTTTTGTTGGGGGCTGTGGCAGGGCAGTCCGGATCAGCCGGATTGAGGCAGGGCCGGTCCATGTAACCATGACCAACTTCAGCCTTATTCAGCATTTCCTCCCAGCTGTCCACTTGATAGTTTATTTTCTTTAACTCTTCTAGGAATTCCAAAGGGTCAAAGTTTGTCCACTGCAAAGGAGGCTTACCTCTGTGAAAGAAATTAGGAGGCAAGACGATGAAAGAGAGGCTTCCGAGCCCTTAGTAAAATAACAAGACTGAATCTACTGCATCTGGATTGTAGGATGCTTTTTGGGGAAACAACTGTAATTCTGGGACCTTGGCACAAAACCCAAATGCTCCTTTCCAGTGCACCTATATGCAAACCTAAGTCAGGAAAATAATCCATGAATGAACATGGCGAACAGAGAGCTTATAAATTAACAAAGGTACCAAAGAATCTTAACTTGCTGATATAGTATATTTAATACCTAACACCCAAATTAGCCAAATGGGTGCTTCTAAGCATAAGACTGAGACCCAAAATTAAGGGGTGGGGGGCGCAGAGGAAATCACAATGTCAAATTAGCACTTGCCAGCCTAATAAATGCTTTGTAAATGTCATCAATCAAAATATTTGATCTCCATTACCTTTAATAATCCCATACTTATGAGCTCTCTCTGACAGCCTGGCAGTCAGCCCCACGAGCCCCCTGCTGCCTCTGCCATCACCGCCATCAAGGCCACTTCCCCCCACACTCACTTTTGAATTTGTGCTGCTGACAGACCAGAAAGGCTTTTGGCTGCCTGTTATGTGGTTCAAACCACACTGTAGCTGCTTAACCAGGCTGAAGTCATTATTCAGAATCTCCCAACCAGAAAACACAAAACCCCTTATTTCCCACCTAAAACTGTACACTGAAGGTCAGGGTATGGCCACTGCAAATTGCTTTTGCAGATATGCGTAAGCTAGGAGAGAAACAATAACCCAAGCACTAACTCTTGCATAATTAACTGAAAATGTCTACACTGATTAACAATTATTCCTTAAATGATGCCGTGTACATAATATTCAACTGCTAAACTGCGAAGCATCCCCTACCATGACCTTCACAGATAGTGGATTTCCCTCTTAAATGCCATTAATGTGATCCAAAGAAAGGTCAGCATTTCACTTAACAGGAAGATCTTGAACTTCGACATGTACCCACTAATAAATTCTCTCCTTAAAAAATAAGCTAAACCCACGTTAAGTGCTCGGTGTACAAAACTGCAAATATTTTAAAGAGTTAAAAATCACACATACTCTGAAATAATTTGCATTTTATTTGCATATAAATGGGCTGGTAAAAGTGAATGAAATTTAATGATGCCTACAGAACTTTTTTTGAAAAGAGGAGAAACATTCTGCCGAAGTGCCCTCTCCCCCAACTATTCACTCGAAACATGCACATGGAATTTCAATGTTTTTATTTCTTGTCCAAAACTGAAACAGAATAAACAATGATAAGGTAACATCAGAAACATTCTAGAGTTTAGAAATCACAGACATCAGAAAACAAGATCACACACTTACAGTAGGTATGCTGTCCCAGACTGTAACTTCGCCCCTTCCCAGAAGCAGTCCAAAGGTGTAATAATTAAACAAGGGTAAAGATATTCTATTATCTGTCAAAGTTGAAAAGTATAGGCCACGCATTAGGCTAATGTATACCACTGGGCTATTTGAGAATTTTTGAGAATTTTTTTGCAAACAGAAAGAAAATATACCTGATCCATGTAACCTGTTTCTGTGATAAGTTCTCCAGATTTATAACACAAATGTTCCAATTTCCATTGCCTATTAAAATAAAAAGCAGAGACAAAAGTTTCTTATAGTAATAAAGGAAATGTGTGCAAAATCAGAACTATAGAACATACAGAGAGAACTGCAATTTTGATCACTTTTCAGTATCTGTCAAAATGAGCAGAGCTTTGCCAAATGGATTCAACAAGCTTGCTTTAATGAATAGATAATACTCAACTGTAATTAACATGTGGGGTGTTTATGTAAATGAATGCTACCCAAAGTACTTGAAAAGTCTTGTTTTCTTAAGTGTTCTCCCAATAATCTTGTTTACACCATTAATCTGCTTTTCCACATACATTAAACAACTTCAGGGCAGATAATTCAGAGCTGAATTATCACAAATTCAAAATAGGTGGGGACTAAATTAGTAAGGTTTATAATGTATTAACATATATTGAGGTGGGAAAATATTACTTTTTTTTTTTACTGGTAAATTATGTCCTTATTAACAGAGAGTGTTCAAAACGAACTTTCCTGCTCTTAACCACAAATGCTATAAAGAACATTACCAGGTAGATTGGTTTCCCACTTTACATTCTTCTATTCTTGTCCTACAGAAATTATATCAAATATACTGATCAACAATTACCTATACTATCCATCATCTATTATTATAGCATTTTGTTATCCCTAGAAGAGTGCTGTATAAGCCCAGGCCTTCCCAAGTGTATTAGGGAAATGAGTCTAATTTGAAAAAAGAGAAAATTAGGAAAAGGTGGGGATGGGAACTCCAGGAAAAGAAAAAATATAAAACTCCTTCTAGACTGCTCTGTTTCATTGGTCTACTTTTTCTTTTATTAGTCGCCCAAAAAGAACGTTCTGGACTTCGTCCTCTTCCTTGTGGAACCTTCCCATCCATCCCTCAGTGCCCTGCTGAAATGCCACCTTTTTGCTAAGCTTTCTTTGATCAGTGCTGTTGAAAGTGACCCCTTTCTCTTGAACCCCAGAGCAATGCTGGTTGGCTCTCCTTCTTGACACTGGAGCACCTGTAGGAGGGACTGCCTGTGTTTGGCTTTGTACATGCTTCTCTGTATTGTCTTTCCTCTCCCTAACTTAGGCTGTGGTGGTTTCATTCCAGAACTCCTCCTATGCTTTTACTACATCCACAGCATTGCTAAATTAGCTACAAAGCTAAAGGGTAGTATTTGGTCAAGGTGTGTGAATCCACCTTACTCTGCCTACCTGTCCCCAGGAATTCACCACAGTGGCTCAGCTCAACCCCCTATTTTTTGGTGACACATACCAACCACTAACATCTGTAATGAATAAAGTAATGAGAAGTAACTTCTTTTTCTTTTTTATTCTTTGTGAGGTGACTAAAGGCGATTCAAAATGTAACTGTTCCAAAAACAGGTTAAGCAGTGAAACATCTTCAGAACGGTGGACAGCCATCCAAACGGCTGCTTGAAGGACCATACTCATTTGGGTACAGTGCCAAGATACTCACTGAAAATACATTATAAAGTAATGTAGTTCATACGTTACTAAACTTTAGAGACAAATCAAGATTTTAAAAATCATTTCACGAGAAAACTGTTTGAACTAACACTTCCGCTGTATTTCCAGGGCAACTTTATTTGCTAAAACAAAGGGGTCTAAACCAGCAGCCTCTCCCCACCACCTTACCTGTTATACATATATACATGGACCCGGCTGGCCTGGAGCGCCGAGTCCAGGTGCTGTCGGAGTGCCTCCGTGGTCAGGACATTAGCACCGTCTTCCTTGGGGGTCTGAATCATGAGTTGAGGATTAAACATAGCCTCTTCTCCAATCTTCTGGCGAGTGTAATTTAATTCACGACTTACTCGCCCACCAACTGGTAAACACGTACAGGTTTCAATTAGAACAGCAAAATCCCCACAAATTCACATTCTGTTACCTCACTAACAGGAGCAGGGTACACAATAAATGAACTCTGGTCACAGAAATGTATGGCTGATGTCTAAGGGGTAACATTCACTTTATTATGACTGGCAATGTTAACTCTACCAATAACAAACATATAAAAAATACTCACTAAAACCTATTAACAATGGTCCTGCCTGTCACACACGCAAACCTAATGCATGCGTGCTTTGTGCACCTTCTAACTAACACACCATATGTATAAAGGGGGAGGGGGAAGGAAAACTTGAGACACTTTTCCTTGCAGACCAGACCAAATACCCCGTTACAATTTCTTTCACTTGTATAAACAATGTGCCCCTGTAGCACATTTCAAGATAAATGGCTTCAATTTACACTCTTCTCCTAAATAATCTGGCAAAGGTAACAAGGAAATGTTTCTTCTTGTTGGAAAAAGAAACAAGGAAAGGTGGCAAATGTGTATTTAGCACAAAACTTGCCAGGAGAAGATAAATAATGTGATTTATGTCAGATGCACAAGGGGAAATCCCACTTGAGAAGAACCAAATGTATCAGCCATGGCTGTCTTGGGAGGCCCTGGAACCTGCTCTCTCAGATTCACCTGGTCAGCATCCAGAAAGCACAGGTGCCAGGTTCTGAGTCACCTGGGGGCGGGCTGCCTGTGTTCTGGAAGCTCCCCTGGTGATTCGGAACCCCTGCCCCAGCTTCTCCAGCAGGCGGCCGAAGCTGGGCGTGAGAGAAGCCAGCACAACAAAGCACGAGTAATGTTGTTACTAAAACCTGCTTTTTTGGTCTTCTTCCTCGGGCTCTAAGCTGTATTTCAATTAGGGTTTTAGAACGCGCCAAGCTCAGGATGCTGCACTGTCTGGGACATGTGGAGGGAAAGGAGTTTTACTTCTCAACAGGGCCCTGATGGGAGCTGTGAAACGAAGCTCTGGTGAGGCTGCTTTGATTCAACACGGCGAACGGTAAGGACTTTGAGGGAAGGCCCGCAGGGACAGCTAACAGAAGAGAATCCTCGAGCACCCTCACCCCTACACACTCCAGTTCCAAAAGGCACTGTAAGCTGAATGTTTACTGAAAAGCAGGCCTTCAGTTCTATCTTTTAGAAAGAACCCTCAGGGATCATCTTAGCTTTCCCACGAGGAGAAATCCTTTTTCTTCAAGTTTAGTATTCAAGGACATAAACATTTGGTTTGAGCAAGTAAATAAGTACTGGGAACAGCGGGTTGTTTAGTTCTCTTGGCATATTTTATAAACAAGGGAGCAAGCTAAAAAGCAAATAATGCCCTCATTAGGAAAACTAGTCCAGATTCGCAGACTGGCAGAGTCATCTGTGCAGGTTCACGCAGATGGCCAAGGCCACCGTGGAACTCTGTGAGGTGAGGTTGAACATACTGTGGTGTGTTGGAGAGACAAGAGGAAGAGGGAGGGGAGGGGCAGGGGGAGGGAGGTGTAGGAGGAGAGAGAGGGAAATGATCATTGGCTATAAAAACTATTTAGATGCTGCGGAAAACTTTGGCAGATAGCCCAGGGAACTGCTGAGGCCCCAGTAATCAGTTTGAAGTTAAAGACCATAGGAAAAAATAGGAAACAACTTGCAGCAGAGCCGGCATTTACATAAGGCCATAGGCCTTCTCAGGATGCTACATAAAAGCTGCCTGCAGGCAGGGTCTGGCTCCTTCTGGCAGGAATCACTATGTATTATGTCAACCAATTAGTGAACTGAATTACACTCAATCCACATTCTCTAGAGATAGAAAAGCTGTTTGAGGTCCCCCTCCCAAAAAAAGCCAATTATTAGTCCAGAGGTCACTCCTGAAAAGCTACAGAGCTGCACACCAAGGAGCTCCAAATAGCCTTTTTGAAGAAAAGCTCAACTCCTCCTTTTTTCTGGCTATCAGACATCAATGCCCCGTGCCTATCAGACATCAATGCCCCGTGCCTATCAGTCATCTGTACCTGCCTCCTTAAGCACTGGCATAGCACGTGACTTCTCATGCTGCTTACAAAGTCGGAACGCCAGGTGAATTCAGACCATGAGGTAGAAACAACCACCGCCAAAGCAGGACCATAGACCTCCCCGCGGCCCACTGCCCCCCGGCCCCTGCCTGCCCAGCAGAGCGGCTGCCTACAACTATAACCAATAAGGCGATGACCCAGGAGAGAAGTGCACGCAGAAATAAAAACCAAATGCAAGGTTCATGCTGCTAAGAACTAACTAAACTCTTCTAGACCAATCTCATAATGGTTCGATTCATTTACCTCGGGGGGTTTCAGAAATGATGCTATTTCCTACAAGATATAAGATGTGCCTCAGGGATTCCATACTGTCACCTTTTTAGAGTTTTTAAGATGTGTATTTAAATAAACACCTATATTCTAATAAAGGGGTGCGTTTTCCACATCTCTAGAACTGAAAACCTTCTTGCTCTTCCACCTCTTTACGCTAGAGATCAATGTGAATATTTTGCTGACGTGACAACCAGTTTCAACGAAGACAAGACTATTATCATTCGTCGATCTAGCAACTAGAGTTGAAGGATCCTGAATTCTAGCTCCCACAACCAGCTATGCTGTATCCTACTTTTGAGTACTGTTAAATTAGATTTACTTTTCCATATTACATGACCATATTTTACTTAACACTTCATCTTTTATAAACAAATATGAATGTTTCTGCAAAACTGTTCAGTAACGTTTTAAAAAGTTTAGCTGATATCCACTTTCTCTGATAAATAGTTGTAACATGACTCATTCAGCCAGCAAGCATTTGTGGGGTTCATGCTAGGTGCTGTGTATTGGGGTGTGTGGTAGATTAGACAGCTCCAAGAGGCTCGCTGGCCAGTGAAGCAAACAGGCAGTACACAAACAAACCAATGTGGTAGTTTCATGGCATGACAAGTGCTATGGAGGAAATCAAGGTGGCGGTGCCATGTGAGTTACCGGGTGGTGGGGCAGGGGAAAGGCCACTTCAAATGGAGTTGCCAGGGAAGACCTAAGAGGAAGAGATACTTATGTTGACCCTGAAGACCTGGGGAAACAGCATTCTGGCCAGAGGAACTAGCAACCACAAAGTCCTCAGGTTTGGCTTGCAACAGGGAGAGAAAGAAGGCAAGAGTGGCTGGAGCTGGGTGAGACCATAATCGTGTCATTCACTTGGTTGCACTGGTAGACTTAGCTCCTTCTCAGGTGGACCTGTGTCATAAACTGTACAGCATTCATACGCTCTTACATCAGTATTCACCCAAGTCACTCTAGAACAAGCTACCAGGAACAGAAGTCCTTCTGGACAGGGCAGTTTTACAGATTCACTGACTTTTGCGACTCTAGCAAATGCCTATCCTACATCACAGCTGAGTGACAGGCCCCGAGCTTTCCTTATCTTGCCGTCTTCCTTACCACGCAGGAGTGTGAAGCTATGGTCTCAGGAAGCCCTTTCAAGTACTGAAATTACAGGTGTGGTTTGGGGGAAATGGTTTGCTCCCTTCTCTTTACCATTATCAAGGTCAAAGTCCTTTTTTAATTGAAAAGTAATCTCATATTTATGAAATACCGCGTAGTCATTTTTGACTACTGAGCGGAATGACCTGTAAGGTCCAGCATTTGTGATATAGATGTAGGTATACAGCCATGTGAACAGTGGTCATTACTGTGCAGTGGTTTATGAATAATATTTACTCACTTTACTTCTTGGGGTTTATCTCTATTTCTTAATGCTTCTGCAGTAAACACGTATAATTAAAGACCCCCATGTGACAAAAAGAGAAAAATACGAAAGCTACTTGACAGGTATCTGAATTAAAAACAAACTCAATGCAAAAATATTATGCATCTCTATCATATTCTGAAGTCCTCTGATATTTTTTTCCTTCTTCCAAACCGAACAACTGTAACAACAAAATTAACAACCAAGCTTTGTGAACAACACTCAGGAAAACTGTTACTTAGGATCCTGGACACAAAATAAACGTTTACATGTGTGTGGTGCTTTCCACTTGCAAAGCCCTTCACACTCATTATATACTTATTTTTAAACATTTTGCTTACTGCTACTCCCCAGTCAAGATGGGGCAAGGTGGAATGGACAGGCAATGGGAACAGATATCAGAAGACCTGGGTTCTGAGCCCCAGTCTTGCCACCCGAGGCACTGAAATTTGGGATACAGTTGAGTCTCAGTAACCTTCTGTGTAAAGTGGAATAAAAATGATACCACTAACCTCACAGGATGGTGTGAGCACTGACAATTATATGAAATTTCCCAAACCCTTAACCAGGTGCCGAGCAGACATCCATTCATTTATTTGTTTATTGCAGGGCATGCATCATCGCCCTTATTTTACAGAGCAGGAAACAGAGCTGCAGAGTCTGGGTGACTTGCCCAAGGTTACCAGCTGATACGAGGTGGAATCAACCTTTAACTCTGAGCCCAACTGTCCTGCAAGCCTCAGGGCTTCCGTGCACCAGCTGAGATTATGAGTTCAGGAGCGCCAAATGACACATACCGGACTAAGTAAGCCCACAGATAAAGAGTTTTCAGAATGCACAAAAGTATTGCACAGGACAAATAACTGGTATCTTTATTTAAAGGACAACAATGTTGCTTCTCAGATTGTTCACCACCACTGAAAAGACAGGTTTTTTTTCCATAGGGCCCCATGGGCAGTCGTAGACAGGCCCCGTTTGCCTCTGGTCCTCAGAGGTGCCTGTCTTAGAGGGGGCAGAGAGAATGAGGGCACACGGGGAACAAGCAGCCCTAAGCCTCTTTACCTACAAATTCTGCCATTTTGTTTTCCAGGAATCGGAGGCTTAAACCAATTCTTTGAAAGAGGCAGGGTAAAAAGCATCACTTCTGCTGATCCTTTCCTCTGCAAATCAAACCAAGTATAGTTTTCCAAGGTGAAGAGGGGCCGACATAGGTAGGAAACCATTCCGCTCAGGGGTCCGTA